ACGTTAAGAACGTTCGGGGCTTGTGACTTTGCCAGTGGCTGGCCGAAAAACTGTTCCACGTAATGTCATGCGATTCTGGTAGGTCGTATCGTTCGTTCTTCAATCTCGGTAATCCCTGTTACGATGATACAACCGTTCCAGCGTATTACATAATAATATTGATCTCGGTAGGTAAGCTTACCCAAGAGGGCAGCCTCTAAGTCTCCTAAGATCTCCGTTTCCTTGGGATCAATAAGGTTGAAGCGTTGATTAAGGAGCGTGAGGTGGGCAAACACACAATTGAGGTGAGCGTGCAACCCCAAAAGTGCTACCTCTCTGAAGTGGCAGTGGTAAATGTGTGCCACCACATGGTACAGTAGCCGCAGGATCTTACGCACTATCGATTCGAACGAGCTAGGAAATTCATTTGCTGAAACATCCACGAACAATTAATACAATTACGGTTTTCGTTTGTACATCCTATCTTGCGAAATGACTTGATACCACCAGATGTATCTAACTCCTGACTGCACGTTATTGTGTAAATACAGCCTTGTACTCTACTCTGTTTATTCATTTCTGAGAATGCGTTTTTATAATTTGAAAGAGGCGATTTAAATTCAATGTTTTTGTATTTAAATGCAAAAAAAAAAAAAAAAAAAAATTGCATTGAAATGCAACAAAATTATTTAATCGCAAAAGGTGAAACAAGAAACTTACCATATTTCGTAGGAAATATAGTTTCGTCACTAACGGTGCGTTGTGTAAAAGTCATAACATAATCTATATATTGTGGCGCTGCCACTCTCGTTTTCTTCCCTTTCTCATCAAACCACAGATAAGTTCTGAAACGATAAGAAAGCGAATTACATGAATGCGTAATAACGCCTAGAGGAAATGATAAAAAATTGAGAATAAGTAGACAAATCGAGGCCAAGAGAAAGAATGTCCGATGAATGTCAAATTCCTTCCTTCGTTTTCCTTTATTCTTTCTTTTCAACTCCTTTCCTCAATAAGGGCAAGCGTCACGCTTATTCGTGAATATAACTATCAACGATATTATATAGAAAAATGTCTATACACAGAGCTTAATGAATAAAAATTGTTAACAACTGTGTGGATATAAACTGTTCAAATATTTAAACAATATAAAATATTCGGAATTTCTCACTTTATGAAAATAGTTGTGTACAACTGTAGAATAACTGTGGGTTTGTGGGTAACCACAACAGATCTCTCGGATTAGTTTTATTTTTTTCCAATATCAAGATACGTTCTCGCAAAGTTATCTGTTTTTATTTTTTATCTTTTTTTAATCCGATTCCATTTCTATCATCGATCATGGCTTTAGTTAAAAAAGAAGAAGCTGTCAGCGATAACACGTTTAATTAACTCTGGTTATTCATGGTGATTAATGCGTGGATCATCAATTTGTTGGGCAACATGTATCGCGATCACTATCGTGTACAATACCTAGCACGTGTTCGATGAAATAAAAAAGAGGAAAAATAACTGCATTGGCCGAGTAATAGGAGAAATATTTTAATGAAGCAGTGACTAATTTCACAGAGCAGCGAACTTACAAAGTATGGCAGTGACTTTATAATATTTATGAGAAGAATCTTACTTACATCCACACCCACAATTATTTAAAATTTCACCGTTTAAAATATTATAAAATATTATAATATAACAATAATATATAATATATAAAATATTATATATTATTATTATATTAAAATATAAAATTTAAAATATTATAAAATATTATAATATTTAATTATATAATATTAATTATTAAAATATTATAATTATAAAATATTATAATAATATATAATGTATAATATAATTTAAAATTATATTAAAAATTATATTATAATTTAAAAATATTATAATATAATAATTGTAATAATATATAATATTAAATAATTGTAATATACAATTTTTCAAAATTGATCAAAGATATTGGTATCGATTCGTTCAAAATTGAATGGAATAAAAGTTTACTTGTACTTAACAACTTTTGCTATTAAAAATCGTTCGACAGATGTATGCACATACTATTTATCCCCTCGCTGTAGCATGTCCGAAATCAAGGCCACTGAGAGGCACTTACCTTACTATTAACATTTAATTACATTGTCCCTTTATCTCTCTATCTTTACGCCCTTTCTATCCTTTGCCCCTCCCCCTTTTTTTTTTTATTAAAAATAATGTAAAGCAACAGATTAATTTCTTTAAACACGATTGTCTACGGTCTACGCACCTTAAGCCAGGACCGGTCATATCGGGACAGCCCGTCATCGTGCAGAACTCGGATATCGTTCCGTAAATGAGATTGATGTGATCGAATAGTGCGAGGGTGTGAGAGGCCAGCCATTCGTTGTAGTCCAAACCGGGTGGTAAATCGACCAACATCCTCAAGTCCAGCTCTGGTAGCTGCCTTTCAAGGGCCGCTTCTTCAAGGTACAATTTCGGATCCTCTGTAGTTCCCGCATCCTTCTCCTTTCGTCGGGCTTTTCTACGAACAGCGTGAAATCGCTCGTTTAGTTTCCCTATATCCCATCGACGCGTTATCCGCTACCACTTGCTCAAGTAACAAAGCGTATTATTGCTCAGCGCGAGGGATTCGTGTGTTGGTGTTGATCGATCTAGCCGAGTATCGATTTGAAAATGGGTATATTTACGGGGTTGGATGGCGTCGTATATGGAACAATACTTTGTCGTGGCTGAATGGCCACGTGTCAGGACGAAAACTGTGGCAACGAAAGATTTGTACATGCCAGCACTTGTGTTGTCTCGGAGCAAAATGGATAGACAGATAAGATGAACGTGATGTCCAATTTCAGACACGGAAGTCGAGTGAAGAGATGAGAGAAATGAGAGTGTGATCGGTGTTATCTCAGTTTTCTGTGTTGAAACTACTTTGTCTGTGAAACAGAGTTTCGTCGGTACAATGACTCGCATATATTTCGATACTAAACATGTTAACTGTGTTACGATTCCGTGGAAAAGAATCGCGCAACGATAAATCTCGGCTTTAAAGCTCGAAGTTTCTGCTTTTAAAATGCATCGTTCGTTTTATTCCAAAATGTTTTCACGTTCTCGAAAACGTTACAAAGTGTACGAATTTGAAATTTTTCCCCTTGAACGTTAAAGTTATACAACGAGAATTCAGTTACATTCATTTTCGCCTGATTTTTAAGGGATTATATTGCAAAGGAGGGACAATAATCTTCAAATCCATTGTAGATTCAGTCATAAAAAAGATTGTTTTACATACTACAATTTACAATTTATAGTATCTTTAACAAGAACAGTGTCTTCACCCGTTACACGATGCAAAAATATTTTAGAACAAAAGCAAACGACACATTTTGAAAGTGAAAGCTTCAAATTTTGAAATAAGCAACACAATCCGGTTGCACGATTCTTTTTTTTTTTTTTTTTTACAAAATTATAAGCTTAAATTCTTGGTATTCGAATATTAATCCGAGTCGATGTTTAAGTTGCAGGAAAAATGTTTCGGATATTTCTTTCTCTGTCTGTCCATTCGTTTCATCAAATTCCTGACATAAATCACTCTTTACACTATGATCAGTTTCCCGACCTGTGGCCAGAATGTGGAGTGGTATTGTACAATACACACGTGTAATGCTAAACTTTCGCTACACACAATCAATTTGTTAATTTTAAAGCGAAGTTTGTTTCAGTTGAGGAATTGTTTTCAGAAATAAATTAAATATCATATCCGATATTCGACATTGTCACGTGAACGTATAGCATTATTCGCTCTGTGAATTCGAGGAGGTGATTTGTGTTCGACGTTATTGCGAGAAAATGGGGACGCCGGTTGAAAAATTATGCTTCGGCGTGATAAGAAATAGAACGCGGCGTGTCCGCGGATATGAGAAATGGCTTCGTGACGAAAAATATCGGCTTCATTCATGGAAATGCGAATACAGATAGTTCATTTTCCTGTTTGTTGATTTAGCGACGCGTACCGATATCCATTCTTCGAACGTTTGATTAATAAAATTGCTAACGATGTTGAAATTGTAACGACGTTAGAATAACGAATAGAAGTTATCTGGAAATAAAAATCACCGAGGCTGGTAGAAAATTCACAGATCTGGGAAAGAAACTCGAATGAAAAGCTCGTTCGGTTGGATCTAACAGCGAAATTTTTTATCTTAAATCGATAATCGTCGTACTCACTTCGATTCAGCGCAAAATGAGCGCAAAAACCGCGACAGAACCACGCGTTTCTCGCGATAAAAATTCTTCTAGCGGAAGCTTCTACAGACGAAAACACATTTCGCGAGCCTCTTCAGAGCCAGGAGAAGGCAAACGGAGGAGAAGAGTAGGTGAAGAGGGCCGCAGTTGAAGAATTCGACGTCTCGTTACGAACACCGTCTTCAATCTGTGTTTCGAGCACGCGTTATCGGCGCCGCCGATCGAGAAACTGACAATGAGCGGATTTAGAGCGCGAGAACTGAGAAAACTCGGGAGAGAAGAGGACGATAGAGTCGAGGAGGATCGTTTTTCGAACAATCGACGAACCATACGAGAAACTTTGAGAGATGTTTCTTTTGTGTCTAAAAATATTAGGTTGTGTACTAAGTTCTTAATAATTATATACTTTTATATAAGATCCATTTAGTCAATGATGATATACGCATCATTTTGTTTTATTTATTAGTAAGTGTTAAGTAACATTTTCATTGGTTCAGGGCTTTTGTTCTTTTATAAAGAAAATGTTACGTGTGTGTGTGTGTGTGTATTTATTTATTTATTATTATATATGTATATATAATTTTTATTAATTATCAGGCATTTGTTCTTTTAAAGAAAATGTTACGTGTGTGTGTGTTTATATATTATTATACATGTATATATAATTTTTATTAATTATATATCAATTATTACTTATATATCTGTGTCCTTCTGATACAATATTATGAATATGAATTGATCAACTGTGCAACAAATAACGCAATAGAATTTCAATTACAATTTCAAGTCACAATTAAAGCAAGGTCACTGTATTTTTCAAGTAGAATCAGATCTTTTCTTTCCAAATATTTTCATACTTTTATTAAAACAATACAATTAAATTTCATTTTATAATAGTGGAAATTGAAATTGGATTGTTTAACATGTTTATGGAACTATGTTGCATATTTGCCGCATCACATAAATTACATATAACAATGATGTACGTATGTAATCATATACATATTTATATTTTTTGAATAATGTCGAGATACGAATGAACTCGCACAGCCTAATAATTTTAAAACATACTGTCGATTATGCCGATAAACTTAGAACACCAATAACATCGACTTTGCTTTTACACGACTAAAAAAAAAAAATCATTTGTTAAAAGTGTAAATATCATTCAATATGATTGCGGACCATAATGAGTGACCGTATACAATAATTCGTCGCTTTCTTTTTGAACTGGTCGGTACGATATCACCGGATAGAAATTATTGAGAAGTGATAAATTTATTATTCGTTTCGCCTATTTTGTTTTACTTAGATATACTCAAAATTGAGAAAATTACAATTTTGCAGGGCAAGAGGTTAATTGAATCACATCTTCATCATGATTCGAGATAGAATTTTCTTTACACTGAGCGCATTTAATTATGCAATATCGATTTCATTCTTACGTCATCTTACGTCATCTTTCTAATAACGTAGTCAATTATACATTTTGCTGAAATAACAATAACGATAAGAAAATTATTCGTTATTGCTTGGGAGAATCCTCTATTTCGTTCTCTCTTGGATTTCTCATCAACGTCGTTCTTTCAATTATATTTTTTCACTATTTGTACGTACACCTTTTTTACACGGACTACGTAAATACTTAACAAACAGTTAAGCGAACTGGGAATGTACATTTTAAATGTGGGTACAAGATGACCCACGATTTGATGAAATTTAATCTGCCAGTAGTACGATCAAAATTCAAACTAATTTCACTTGGAAATGCGTGCAACAATCCTGCTCGTCGTGTGAATTTCGTTTAATGGCTGAAAACTCTGTAATTGAAATAGTGGAAAATCCATTTTCACGGCGCGGCCGTAAACGTTACTTGTTTCACGTATATAATCGCGTTTATAACTACGAGCCATTTCTGTATCTCACATATCCGTCCGCACAGAGGACTGCAAATGACACGAATGTCCGTATAATCGACTAACAGTTACTAAGGTCATTAAAGTCAAACACTATAACGTGTTAACGATTCTAAATGTTTAATCTCTCTTGTATACCATGCATCTCTTATGACAAAAAAAAATATTTCAAATAACAAATAACAAATTTCTAACTTTCTACATATACACGTTGCCTCATTTATCTCGCGGGGATAAAAATTTTCCATTATCACAAATTTAACTCGCAGAATATAATATTCACTACAAATACTTCTTTTTTTTAAATAAAATACATGAATATAAAGATATTTAAAATATGGAATAAAATTCGAGGTTGACAAAACTACATTATCATTTTCGCTACCACAAAATCTAAAAAGATAGTTGTAAGTTACAACTGGGAAAAATTATATATATTATCAATAATTCTTTTATATTCTCCAAACTGTAAACTATAGAATTTTCTTCACAACAGAATAGCACGATTAGCTTGAAACATAACTTAAAAATAGAATGAAAGAAAATAGAAAAGAAATTAATTTCCTTCTTAAAGTGTTACCAAATTATGGTCAATGTTGCCAACGTGTTTGGGAGATAATTTTGAACAAGTGTTATATACACCATTCACCTTCGTTTTCAAGATATAAAAAGAAAAATTGTACAAGTCACAGATAATCAGATAGGTACGTTCAAGCTACTTAACTTTTAATGATAACAATTTATTTCAATTATTTTTTACATATATATATACTGATTTATACTGGTTCAAATTGGTTTACACAAATTGTTCAAAATGATCATCTCTTGTCTCTATATGCACGCGTGTAAGCGTGCTTCCATAGATCGTGCATGTTAACTGAATGTTAACATAATATCTATCGATCTATTACGTATTAGATTTTATGCAATCTATTACGTGTATTAGATTTTATGCAATCCCATACAAAAAAATTGTATACATTTCAATGAAATGGGAATAATGCTCTAATTTGACAACTGTCAACAGTTCTGTCTATATCTCAAAAACAAAGAACGGTGCACATAATTCTTTGTATTCTTTATTCAAAATTACCTCCCAAACACATAAATAGAATCTGAGATTAATTTAACATTATTATATATATTTTACATTAATTTAACATTATATATATATATATTGGATTGGCTAATAAGTCCGCACAGTTTTTTTTTTTTAACAAGTAAATGATACAAAATTTTTTTTACATTAAACAACAACTCTATTCAATAAGGTATCGTGCTCAAAAAAATTCTGCTCCTTTACGGCAAAAAATTGATACTGTTCGATATCGTTTATCGGAATCATTCTTCAGGATTTTCCCTCTTGAAG